TGAAGATATCAATATGTAATACAACAAGCATTGTTAATTTCCTACCACTTTGTTTGTAACTCTGTATTGTCTGTACTGTTCTTTTGCTATTTTGTGAAAGGTTGTCTGTCTGTTAATGTTTTCCTCATTTTATTTTTAAAATAAAAAAATAAACTAAAGTGGCTAGGAGTGAATTTCAGAGGTACAGCATGTGTCAGAGTGCATGAATTAAAGCATGTGTTTACTCATTCCCTCAAATGTAACATGGAAATAAATTAACACAGTAGGGATCAAGAAACAAAATACAACAGAGATTATAATGACAACATGAGTTGATGATTACTACTCAAATATACCCACTGTTATATAAAAATTATAACACTGATTTCAGCTGCTAAAGTGAAATATTGACTAAATTCACTTGCATTTTCTAAAGCAAACATAGCTAATATGCAAACATAAAAGTAGATAAATGAAAAATATGTGCCTTATATTTCATCAAATTACTCAACTGGAGCATAAGAATATATAAAATGTTAATTATATGTTAAAGTAGCTTACCTTTGTTACAGCTAGTACAATATTTAAATAAGAAAAATATGTTTGCTACAGAGAATTTTCCAGAATTACTGGTTGATGAATACTAAACATAATTCAAGTAGTGTGTATGTATATGTGTTCATGCCTGCAAACAAATAAATGCATATGCACACATAAATATCTGTTACACAAACATATATGTACAAATCTCTAACCTCATATGAAATGAATATATCTGTGCTTACAATCCAGTGAGATGACTGTAAAAACCAACAAATAATTCTTGAATACCTTACAATTTACCCATTCCTCATACGAGTAGGAGATTTTCTATTTCTTATGTTGTCAAAACAAAATGCGCATATATTGGCATCACAGCTCAGGATCAGAAAAGGGCTGACAGTTGGGAAAAAGCCAGCAACTATTGCAGATATGTTCACCAGGAACCAGGTGGGATTATAAATAAATAGCAAGGAAACTTGAAAGATGCAGGAGAGTGTGTAAAAACAGACGTAGGTGCTGACCAGGAGAAGGATGGTTTTGGTCGCTCTGGACTCAGGAGAAGATCCGGGGCTGACATTAGTCCTGTGGATGTGTCTCATCTGCTGCTTGTGCCTGTACAGGATGGAAACCATGGAGCTGCTGGTCCAGAGCATGAGCCCCAAACACAAAACATCAGGGAGGGACAGCAGGGCTGCGTATAATGACTCTGTGGTTTTGTCATGACGAATACTGGAACAGTACCCATGATATTTGAGGCTTGTGAGGTTCTTCTTGCTCCAGTTCCCAGTGGTGTACATAAGAAAAATAACATTGACAAGGCTGTACAGGACCCAGATCAGGCACAAGGAGGAGCCAACATACTTGGGAGCCTTCACTTTAAGCTCTGCCCACCTGGAGTTCCTGGGGCTGATGGTGATGGCCTGGAAGACACTCAGGAAACAGGTGCTGCCAATAGTCCCACCCCTGCTTATTCTTTGCAGATAGAACAGTAGTTTGCACCCCACATCACCAAGGGAAACTTGCCAACCAAAAGCTGCTATTGTGTGGGGCACTCCTCTACCTAGGAGAGTTAGGAGGTTGGCTACAATCACGTGCTTAAGAATCAGGTCTGTGCACTTTAGTCTGCACCCAGTGAAGTAAAGGGACAGATAGTGGTAAAGAAGAGAGGAATTGCCGAGAACCCCAACCACAGTCTGTAATAAGAAGATCACTCCTATGACCCCTTCACTGGTTGTCATCCTGCCCAGTCCCTTGTGTCTGCGTGGAGAACCTTGCAAGGGAAGGGAAGCATGCGCTGCATGTTTCAGGCCACATGGACCAGCAGTGTCCACTTGCCGCTGGTTCCCACTGAGAACTCTCTACTGAAAGTTTTCTTTTCTGAGAGGACTCTACGAGCTGATACACACATTTAAAGAGGTCTTATAATGTATAAATTCCTGCTAGGAAGGCAGCATAGATAATGACTAATTCCTGTTTCACCTTGTACAATGCTGGCATGACTAAGACGTTAACTATAAAAATGAGGAACTCTTAGGCAGAGAGAGGTTAAGTATTTGTCTAAATTTACATCTTGATTAGAGCTAGGAAGAGACTTGCCCATGACTGAGTAATACCATGGAGGACTATCACAGTTTCCTAAAAACTGTTCCACTGGGCCTTGATGGAGTCCCACATTACATTTAGTTTTTTTTTTTTTTTTTATGTGTCCCCATCATCTTTTTAAAAAATAATATTTGATGTTTCCTTTCCATTTGCTTGTGAACATTTATACTATTGGGCATCATCAATTATGAGGGAACACTAGGATAATTTAAAAATGCACTGAGAGAAGTTACTGCACAGGGAGTTACTTCCTGATAAGCTATGTGGAATGAGGCAAAAATACTTGATGCCAGAAGTACTGGTGCAACTCATCTGGCTTCAGGTTTTGGACCATGTACAATGGCTCCTCTTACAGGAACTGTTCAATAACCATGTCATGTCATGTACCTAACTTTGGGTGGTAACTCTAGTACGTGCTAAAAGAATGTAGAAGAGCAACAAGCTATTAATGTTAGATCATTTCCCCATTTACTCTTAAAAACCTGAGATAAATGACGATATAAACAATGAAACCAGATTTCTGCATGGTTTTGAAGTAGAATACTCATATGCAACATGCAAAGCAAGAAATGAAAACGTTTTTTTTTTTTAAATTAAAAGAGTAGATTTAGGTTTGGTTGAGGTATTAGTTAATGTACATTTTAATACATATTTTATTGTTTAAAATAGTTTTCACTTCAAAGCTAATTTTAGGGGACAACAGAGAGATTCTCTCCATATGCACATCCCCCACCCTTGAAATTCCCACAGCACAGTGGCTTAATTTTTAGAATTCTTGAGAATGTTTTGCAATATTTGCAAATGAGATTATATATTACTGCCAGATACTCTCACAAAGGCACAATGACTATGCTAACTTGTGTTTTAAATGTTGCTGCCTTAACCTTCAGGGACAAAATACACACAGGACACTCAACGAGCTAGATATTTTGAGAAGAGATACAATTCCATTCTCCATTAACTGTATGTCACATCCATAAGTAGAGAAAAATCTTTCTATTTGTACAATTGCTTGATTCACTTTTTTTGTAGGATTCGATTGGTCCTATGAGTTTATCTTTGTCTTTATTTTATAAGTATAGAGACACTATAGCCACAGTGTTAGAATCCTGAAAAGTCTGCATATGACTTCTTAGGCTGAATAACAATTTTAAAATTCTTTTTCTGTTTAAATGATGGCATCAGTACTTGTACTTCTGCCTTGTTTGCTCTTTTAAGTGCAAATTTCCAACATTTAACTAGCAAAAACTGCACATATCTAAGGTACACATTGCAATGATGTTTATATATATATTATACTATTACCACAAATTCATAATATATCCATCACTACACATAGTTTGCATTGCATGCGTGTGTTATACGTGTGTGAAGGAAACTTAGAACTTGTCCTTTTATGAATTTTCAGGTAAATAATACAGCATTATCAATATAGTCCCTCTTCTATATATTAGATGGCCAAATATTTTTCCTCTTAAAATTGAAAGTTTGTATCCATAGCAACTTCACTAAGCATGATAAATATCAGGCTGCAGTGCTACTTAGATTACTTAGCCACAAAATCATTGCCAGCAAAGAGCACATTATTTTAGAAGCCAGCAGGGATTGCCACAGGGTACAGAAACATCATTCTTTTTACTCCCTGTGCCCGTTACTTAGGAAAGTGCCTGTTTCCTGTATGGCATCAGCATCCAATCAGACTCAATCCAGAATCCCTGATTCTGAATCCTTTAGCTGCACTTCATATTAGCTTTCCCCTGCACAGTCAGCCTCTCAGGTTACAAATGGAAACACTCACCAGCTCCTTCCTTTCCCCACATTGGGAATCGCAGTGTGAGTGTCGCCAGTCTCTGTGCCCGAGATTAGTGCTGTAGGTAAGGGACTAGTTCCTGAAATATGGGTCTGTGATTCTGTGACTTCACCTCCCCTCAGACCTGTAATTATCACTTCATCTGTAGCAGCAATGGGCGTGCAGGCTTGGGGAGCTGAGATCAGTTCTGAGAGCTATTTTTCCCAGGTGATGATTGTCAACAACTTTTACAAGTTTCTTGCTAGAGTCTCTTAAGAGAATACTAGAGTGTTTGGAGAGGCTCTTACTTCTCCCTGATACCTGCAGGGAGATAGGTCCCTCATGAATCAGGGTAGGAAACACTGAGTCCTACATGAGAGAGATCAGCGGCGAGCCGTGTGTGTCTCATTGTATTCCTTGCTTTCCTCAAAAATTCACTTTAAAAAAAAAAAACACAAATCTAGTTTTTCTACCCAAATCTTATTCTTTATGTCATTGCATAGTTCTAACTTTTATGTTATCAGCATAGCAATGGAAGGAGACAAATTATCTGGGAAGAAACTTAAATTATCTGGGAAGAAACTTAAGGGACACAAGTAAAAAGGAGAACGTGATTCTCACAACTTTGAGCATCTCGGGACACAGCTACACCAATAAGTCCATCAATTATGATTTTGTAATCCAATTGGATGCCAAATAACACTGAATTAGCGTTGAAATTGTGTAGGGAAGACTACTTTCCTCACATCAACTTTTATTAGTACTAAAGGGGGAGATTAATGTCCACCAAAAAAGAGAAAGTATTTAAAAACACCCCTTATATGTGGACACATCAGATAGTTTGAGAGGCAGATTCTTATATTTTTCTATCTGGCAGATAAACCAGTCTAATATGCTTAAGAGCTCCCAATATTCACCAGAATTCTCTATACATTTCTAATGCTGAGTTTTCAGTGATGAGTGCTTTTGTGATTAGAAATAGAAATCATGACTTAAAAGATTTTTCACATGTACACACACATACACAATCTTATATATATTTTCTCCCATCTCCCCAAATATCCCACTCATGGACTAAGTCCATAACAAAATGGTCACACTTACACAAACACATTTTCAAATTTGCACACATATGTGAGAGTTTTAAGCTATAAGGAAAAAGTGGAATTGGGGGCTGGGGATTTAGCTCAGCGGCACAGCGCCTGCCTGGCAAGCGCGACGTCGTGAGTTCGATTCCCGGTACCAGAAAAAAACAAAACAAACATACAAACAAACAAAGTGGAATTGAATCCTTGTTGGTCTCACCCCGGGGTTGCTACAGTTTAACATAAAAATCTACAATTTTTATATACTATTAAAAACATCCTCTGGCAAAGGAATCAGGAAATCAGTTCCATTTACACTGTGTGAAGACAACGTGAAATAGAGTGCACCGCACCAGAAAGGCAACAAAGCCCTGCATTACTAATTACAGGTCTTTGTTTTTATTTTATCCTTTTAAAAATTACTTTTCCCTTTTCCTTTTCTTCTTTTCCTCCTCCCCCCACCCCAATTCCTCTTTCTCTGAAAAATTTCTTCCCATTTCACAACATCCATCTAGCTCTCTTTAATAAATCCAATAGCTCTCTTTAATAAATTTTATTTCTCACTCCACTGAGATAATGTAAGCTTTGTAAATAGGGAGGGGAAAAGTGGGTGAAGGGAGGACATTGGATTGGGGAAAAAAAGACGAATCAAAATATATCATGTACAGGTACAAATTTCTTATGATGCATATGATCACTATGTCTATCTGAAATGTACCAATAAATTTAATTAAAATATAATTACAGAACACATAAGAAAGAAGTTGAAAAAGACACCACAAAATGAAAAGTCCTCTCATGTTCATGTGTCAGTAGGAATAATATTGCTAAAGTGACTATTGCCAAAAGCAATCTATGTATTCAATGCAATCACCATCAGCATATCAATATAAGTCTTAAATGAATAGAAAAATATTTGAAAATTTCCTGGAAACAAAAGTTAACCAGAAAAACCAAAGCAATCTTCATGTAAAGGTGTGAAGCTTGTGGTGTCACCACACCCAATTTCAATATATACTACATAGCTTTTGTAGCAGAAAAGTATGGTGCTGACAGAAAGAGCATGGGGACCAATGGGACAGAGTAGAGAAATAAATGCACACGATCACTGTCATTCGATTCTTGCCAAATGGGTGTGCAAAAACACATATTGGAGGAAAGATAGCAACTTTAATAAATGATGTTGAGCAAGGGTAGATATTCAGGAGTCTGAGGTTAAAACTAGGTCAGTTTTAAAAGAGTAGAAAAATATTTTACAAAAATGATAAAATTTCAGATTTGAAATACTGAAACTGCTAGAAGAAAATATCTGGGAAACACTTGACAGGCAAAAACTATCTGAGCAAAACTCTACTGACTAAGAAAAATATATCAAGAATCACCAACTGGACTGTGCCAAATTAAAAAAAGCTTCTATACAACAAAGGAAATAATTACCAGGGTGAATGGACATCCTATAGAATGGGGGAAATCCTGCCCACTCTCTTCCCACAGATTAGTATCTAGACTATGTAAGGAACTAAAAAATTAGAACTAATAACATAATCAATAAATGGGATAATGAACTGAAGAAACACTTCTCAAAAGAAGTACAAATGGCAAATATTTACATGAAAAAGATAATTTTCAGCCTGTTTTACAGATTTTGTTATGTACACTAAATAAAATATTAGTTTACTTGTTTTGAATATTTTCATTCCCTGTTGTGATATCACCTCATTTCATTTTGTTGTAGATTATTTTCTTATACTGCCATACCAAATTTCATTTTCCAAATACAAAAGAATTAAATTCATCAGTTCACTAAGAATCTTCATGTGAGTGGCTTTTATTTAGAAGCTACTATGTCGGAGTTGAACTGTCATCAAAAGTCTATAACTTTTGGTGATATCTGCTAAGTTGACATACATATCTTTAAAATTTATGCATGATAATGGAATTGTTGGACCAGAAGTACCTATCAGTTTAGTTTTGCTAGCTATCATAGGAGAAACCTCAGGAGACATTTTAAAACAATTTTCACATCTCACAGTCCATAAGATTCATGATTTATTCACACTCTTGGATTATGTTCATTCTATTATTTTCATTTTTGCTCGGTTGGTATGTGATACCTTCTTGTGGCAAATATATTTGTATTTCTTTGGTTACTAAGATATTTGAACATCATTTCATGTATAGACATTGTATAGCAAGCTATAAAAATTCCTGTATTATTAAAAGAGTACATTTAATTAGGTTTGTAGTCTAGTGTTTTAAACTACTATTTTTTTTACCAGCTGTGTAAGATTCAAAAGTCAAAATTTCCCTTTAAAAACATTGAATTTGGACAAATCATTAACTTCCATGTGCCTAAGTGCTCTTTACATTTTCAACAAGAATAATAGTGTCTTATGTCCCTTGGAGTTACAAAGAATACAGAACCCCCTATTTATGTGGATTTATTACGGTGATTATTTTTATTGCTCTGTAAATCAATAAAACCTGGAGAATAAACATGATGCTAAATGTTATGATTCTTATGTATGCAGCTGGCAGTTTGGACAACAAAAATATCACAAAGAAAATTGACTACATCTATTGTTTTATACATCACCAAAATATGGTTGAAACACAGTATCTATCCCATTTCATGATTTTTTCTGCTTGGGGTTCATGCTCTTAGCCACTGTGCTGGTTTGGGGATATTGCAAGGGAACAATATAATACAGGACACATATTTTATAAAATTATTTATAATAGTCACCCAAAGAATGATATACAAAAGAGTGCAGGAAATCT